CATGTAGGTAGTTTTGATAAATATAGCAAATTCCTTTCATATGGGTTTTGTTTCTCCAAAGACTCTCCAACAGGTTATATTATGATTTTGTCCATCTGATATGTGAGAAATAGTATCTCAGTGTAGTATTATATGTATAATGATAATATCATGGCAAATTCATTACCTTACAGGTTTATTATTTTTTAGTGTTGGAAACATTCAAAAATAATCTCTATTAGCTATTTTGAAATTTGCAAGAAATCATTGTCAATCATAGTTATCCTACTATGCTATAGAAAATTAGAATTTATTCCTCTTAACCAAATGTGATCTGCTTTTTGTCGTTATAGATAAAGTTTCACTTTATAGACTTGTATAAAAACAAAATCATATGACGTGTACTCTTTTGTCTGGCTTCTTTCAGTATAGTGATATTTTGAGATTTATCCATTATTTTTTATTACTGAATAGTATTCCATTATGTGAATATACATGAACAGTTAGGCTTTTCCTAGTTTGAGAATACTACAAATAAAGTTAGTATAAACATTTGCATATAAGTCTTTGAACATACTTTTTTTTTTTTAATCTTTGGGCAAATACCTATAAGAAGAATAGCTTATTATGAGTGAAACTGAGCATCTTTCAAATGCCATTTTTCTTCTTCTTTCTTTCTTTCTTTTTTTATTTTCAGTGCTGGAGATTGAACTCAGGGCCTTGCACATTACTAGGCAAGTGCTCTACAATTGAGTTACATCCCCAGTCCTCAAATGTCACTTTTGTGTGTGTGTGATTGTCCCTTAGTGTCTTTTGCCTATTTTTCTGTAAAATTTTTGATCTTTAATTTTGAAGTTCTTTATACATTTGAGATATTAAACCTTTATCTTAATATGTTATAAATATTCTCTCAATTTGTCATTTGTATATTATTTTCACTTAAGGTGTTTTTATATGCATTTTAAAATATCTGTGTAGTCGATGCCTCATCTCTTCTTGATCATATCTTAATTTATCATATCTTGATCATGTCTTAATCATAGTTAGAAATATTTTCCCAATACCTACATCATAGAGAAGTTAAAACATTTTATTCTATATTAATATTCATTCACTTTTTACATTTAGATTTTTGACCCATAAAGGTTGATTGTGTGTGGTATGAAGACCTTATTTTTCTTAATGGCTATCCAATTGTACTGAGAGCTTAAAAGTCCTTTTTATTTTGCTTTGTTTATTTATTTGAGAATTCACCTTTCTCGTTTACTATATTTCTAGATATACTTTTTCCATTTTATTCTATTGAGGCACTGGGTTTGACACTCAGCACCACATAAAAATAAATAAATAAAATAAAGGTATTGTGTCCATGTGCAACAACTGTCACATGCTAGTACCACCTTATTTTAAATATCCTCTCCTCTTCCCCACATTGATCTTCCTTTTGAGGTTTTCTACCTGTTCTCATGTGTTTATTTCTCTACCTGAATTTTAGTGTTATTTAGCTCCAGGGGGAAAAAAAAAGCTTGTTATTATTTCTATTGGGATCATGTTAAATGCATAAATTAACTTAGGGAGAACTGACATTTTGATCTTTGAATATTCTAATCAAGAGCAAGGAATATCTTTCCATTTGGTAAAGTCTTCTTTTGTTAAATAAATATGTTTGAGGAAATATATTTGAAAACTGAACCAGAGATTACTTTCATGCGAAAGGTAAAACCAGGAAATCTGTTTTACTTTCCAATAAATAAAAGCAGCAGTTTGAAAACAATAGTAGCTGGAGGTGTAGTTCAGTGCTAGAAATCATGCTTAGGAGGCACAAGGCCCTGGATTCAAGCCCCAGCACCAAAATAATCATAATTTTTACATCCTAATTATCTTTAATTGTGTTCAGGAATCATAAGCATCTTACTCCGCAACATTCAAGTTGCTTAATATCACTTCCTTGAGTGTGCTTTATGAAGGACAATTGCTTCTAGGTATGAATAATAAGCCTAGTCACAATAAGGCTTTTGTTTTGTTTTGTTTTATGAAGATGTCTTGGATCTCATTGAACATCTATCTAAAAGCTAAGGACTCGATTTCCATCCATATGGGAACTTTACACAATTTTTCTAAAGGTTGGAGGGGAAGGCATTGACTCCTTGAAGCCAATCCTTAAGATTCTTGTTTTGAATCCCTGTCCTATGGGTTATATTTTACAGGATTATAGACCTAGAGATGGGTAGGCAATATTTGGATTTGGGCACTTCACACCCTGACAGTAATTCCTATAATTCCTACTTCTCTCTTCCTTCTGAGGGCTTTATTACTTAATTTGGTTCTAAGCAAGTTTTATTTGGGCAAGCAAAGTCCCACCAAGAAGATACTAAGGGAGTTCCTGGAAAACTGGTAGGAGAACTCCCTGCATTGATGGTTCTGTGAATTCCATGTCAAGAATCTAAACTTTAGGGTGGTAGATCCCTTGTTTAGAATGCACAAGGCCCATGTTTCATCCCCAACACTTAAAAAAAATAGAAACCTTAGATTTAAATGATTTATTCAGGGCTGGGGCTGTAGCTCAGTGGTGGAGCATTTGCCTAGCACGTATGAGGCACTGGGTTTGATCTTCAGCACCACATAAAAATAAATAAATAAAATAAAGGTATTGTGTCCATTTGCAACAACAATAACAAAAATTTTTAAAGGTTTTTACATTGAGGGCTGATGGTAGAGCATTTCCCTGGGTTTGATCCCAGGTTACACCACAGACAGACACACACACACATACACACCTCAAGTGGATTTATACACTGAGAGTAAAGTACTTGATGTCATGCCATACATATTCTGAGCATTAACCATATCTGTGATGCCACATGTTGAGTTTTATTTCCTTCAGATGAGGACATCTCACTGTAGACTTGACAATTCAATTGCTACTGATGTCACCAGTATCCTTCAGATTCCCACAAACACTAAATCCAAATACTACAGTTAGGGGCAACAGAGACACCCCTAGAATTCTGGGGAATTATGATCCTCTCCAAGCTACTAGATACATTCCCATTTGGTCTCACAGTCTCAAGACCTACATAAGATGCTTGCTGGGAGAGGGTGATATATGTACATATAACATCACAGAGTTACCATCGTAGAGTTCAAATTTTATTGAGTCAAAGGGAATCACTCAAATGGAATGGCATGATCAGATCCAATTTGGGGGAGGTAAATCACTGTATTTCAGTCAAGTTGTGGTGGCAGTGTGGAGAGATCTTCTGAGACAAAAAGAAGGCTGCATTAGAGCAACAGTGAGTGTCTTAAAAGACAATGGCTGTCATAAAATAGAACTAAAGGAATTAGACTAAGTGGTGATTGGATACATTTGACATGAGTGGTGGTGGGGTATTGGAACTTGGAGGCCCAAGTCTCTTTCTCCCTAGTTAAATGATCTCATTCAAAGGCATTTTCCGCCTTCTGCCTCTCTGAAACAAAAATAAAAATGTTCTTAAGTCCCAAGTGCTACTAATATGAAGGCACGGACAAGGAAAAGAAAGGAGAAAGTGGATAGTAAAAATGTCCTTGTGGTTAAAAGGCTGCATTGTCATGATACTTTATGATTTCTGAGGTATTTGGCTTAACCCAGGCTTTTTCTTTGTTTTCCCAAGCAGTGAGGATCAAATCCAGGGCTCTCTACCACTGAACAACACCCCCAGGACTTTTTATTTTTTATTTTGAGATAAGGTTTCACTAAATTGCCCAAACTGGTCTCAAACTTGCAATCCTCCTGCCTCAGCCTCCCAAGTTGCTGGAACTATGGGTTTGTACACCTTGGTTAACTAAGATTTTTTTATTTGTCCAAGGCTGAGGCAGGCTTGATAACAGTGAACATTTATGTAAAATGTTTTTATTTTCAAAATAATTCTATTTTTGTTCTCCTTTTACTCATCCAAAAATAACTTTTTTATTTGTTCCATTGGGTCAAATGGCAGTTTGTTTTGGACCACATTAAAACATTTTCCAAAGTTTTGCCATGGCTTGAGTTTCCAAAATCACTACAACTTTTGTGGATTTATCAAAGATTATTTATTTTATTATTTAATGAGTAATAACATACAAACAGTAAAGTATATAAACAGTACTAATCTTAAGTGTTCAAGTTGAATTTTTGCATGTGTACATATCCAGTTAACCACCATTTGGTTAAAACTATAGAACATTTTGTGTACCTCATGAGGTTCTCTTGTATACTTTTCGGTTTAGTCACTGAAAGATTAATCACTATTCTGACTTCTATAAACATTCAAGTCTTGCTTGTCTTAACCTTTGTATATATAGAATCAGAACTCATTTGTGTCTGGCTTCTTTCATTCGACATAGGATTTGCGAGATTTCTCCATCTTGCTGGAGCTGATCCAGTATTCCTTTCTTCCCTCCTTCCCTCTTTATTCCTTCTTTCCTTCCTTCCTTTCTTTCTTTTTTTCCTTCTTTCTTCCTTTCATTAGTGAGTGAACCCAAGGTCTCACAAATGCTAGGCAGATGTTCTACCACGAAACTACATCCCCAGCCCCCAACTCTCCACCTTCTCTTTTTTTGAGACAGGGTCTTGTCAATTTGCTGAGGCTAGCCTCAAACTTGTGATCTTTATGCCTCAGCCTCTCGAGTAGTTGAATTTACAATTGTGTGCCTGGCTTGATTAATTCTTTTAAATTGAGGTGTAGTATTCCATTGGATAAGGGTACCACAATTTATTTATGTCTATTCATGAGCATTTGGGTTGTTTCAGCTTTGGGATACTATGAAAACAACCATTAAAACCATATATTACACAAATGAGAAGACGTAAGCACTTATTTCTCTTAGGTGTAAAGAATAGATTTGCTGGATCATAAACCAAATACGTGTTTAGCTCTGGTAGAAACTAACAAGTGCTTTTCCAAAGAGACATTATTTTGAGGGCCCCACCACACTAATGTATGAGAGTTCTGTATCCATGAAAAAAGTTGATATTATCAATCTTTTAAATTTCAGCCTTTTGGGTGCTCACTTCAGCAGCACATATACTAAAATTGGAACAATACAGAAAAGATTCATATGGCCCTTGTGCAAGGACAACATGCAAGTTTATGAAGCATTTCATATTTTTTTCTTACTGATATGCAAATGATGTTTATTGTTGTATTGCAACCTTGGACAGTCTTACATCACAACTATTGCTATGCTATTTGGAAAAAAATGAAAACAATAACAGGAAAGATTGAAAGAAAGCATACCATAACAAGCTAGAATCTTTGTTTTTTTTATTATTTTAATCTGGGAGCGAAGCGGGTGTTGCAAAGTATCTTTGTTACTTGTGACAACAATCAACATACATAGAAGCTTTGTACAACCTAGATGATTGTTTCCAATGACTGTTGCTTCTTTCAAGGTGAAACAGAACTTATTGCACCCTATGAAAAAGACAACTACTTAGCCTAATTGGGTGGGTGAGGGTACTCTCTGTTTCATGGTAACCATAAGCACATATGTGGGCAGATGGACAAGGTCTGCAGGTCTACTTAAGGACCTATTTTACATGCCTTCCAACCTTATGCCCATTTTTTTGTTTTTGTTTTTGAATGTACTTTAAAAAAAGAAAAACAAAATCTAAGGTTGTAGAATGAAAAATTTCTTCAACCTTAGATCCCCTCACTTGGACTTATTTTAGACTTTGGATAAAAAAAATGTTTTTGCCAAGTTGTGCCTTTCCTTCTGAAATTGTAAATAAGTTGCTGCTTATTTAAAGACAGTCCATTTGAAGGTCCAAGACTAACAACCACTCCCCACAAGTCCAGATGCCTTCATCTTCCCCAACACCAGAAGAGGTAGCACCTGTTGGGGGATTCTTAGGTGACTTGATGTAATTTGCCAGTGCCTACTCTATTGAAGAACTGCATTTTCATTCTTGAGAAGAAACTCATGGAAGGGTGTACTTCCTATTGCAGATTCTTATTTTTTAAAAAATTTCCCTAAACAATTTATGCCAAGTAATAATGAAGATTTTTATTTTTCCCTGAGCTAAATGAAGGCTAACACAATTAGAACAGGGAAGTCCTGGGTGTGAAAGCATTAATTTATTTACATGATTTATTTTTTTTTTTATTTTTTGTAGCCATAGCCTGTATTTCCCTATTTTATGACTGCTAAAGTATTCCCAGGCCTTGCTTTAAACCTAAGAGTTGTCATATTGGTGGGAACAGCTAGACACTGCCATTGTCTTTGTGATTCCTTTTTTAAAAACTCCCTTTTATGCATGTAATAATGTAGAGTAAATGATGAAATATTGCTCTAATGGTTGAATGGAAGGGGAAATAAACACCAATGTTGGGGCTGAGGATTTTTTCTGGCTGTGTGGATGCCCTTATTGAAATGTGGATCGGGGCTGGGGATGTGGCTCAAGCGGTAGCGCGCTCGCCTGGCATGCGTGCGACCCGGGTTCGATCCTCAGCACCACATACAAACGAAGATGTTGTGTCCGCCGAAAACCAAAAAATAAATATTAAAATTCTCTCTCTCTCTCTCTCTCTCCCTCTCCCTCCCTCACTCTCTCTTAAAAAAAAAAAAAAGAAAAAAGAAATGTGGATCAAGACTGTTACCCAAAGTTTTATCTCTTAGTTATTGCACTTGACTTTAGGGTAAAAAAATAATGTTTTCACCAAGTTGTGCCTTTCCTTCTGAAATTGTAAGTGAACACAGTAACAGTACCTGTTTAACTGTGCCATAGATGTTGCTACAGAGAACACACCAGTGTTCTCACTGTTGAGCTCACAATACCTACCAAATATGTAATCTATGGAGAAACCTGTGCAGAACCTGCTGATGCTGTGTGTCTGTTGGAAAATAAATTCGAAATATTTGCTCCTCCCCTGGCAAAAAATTCTTAATCTTTCTGGCCAGGTTTGGTAGTACACATTTACAATACCAGCTATTGAGGACACTGAGGCAAGAGGATTGCAAATTCATGGCCAGCCTGGGCAAAATAAAAAGTAAAAAGGTAAAGTGCTGGCCTAGCATACCTCAGGCCCTAAGTTTGATTCCTGGGAACACACACACACACACACACACACACACAGCATTTTGAGGGTGAGAGTAATGATTTCTTATTATGGTTTTAATTTGCATATTCCTGCTGAGTTATATAAAACCCTATTGAACTAAAGAAGACTAAGGAAAAGATGTGAGGTATATTTCATTGTATTCTTATGAGTTAAGGAAGTGAGTCATATTCTCAGATTATCTAAAATGGTAATAATTTAGTTCAATTCAATTTGCCACAGAAGCATCTGTCAACATCCTCTAGGGATTCCAAGGTGTGTAAAACAGATCCTACCCATGGTGTGTTACTACTATTGAGCAAGAAAGGCAATTAGGTCAACCAAGACTTGTCATGGGATGTGTAAAGCCAAATATCATGTGCTGGAGGAGTAAAGATGAAGGAGAAACTAATTTGGCCTGAGAGGAAGCAGTATTGTAAGAGGGTACATCTTGAAGAAGGAGCAGGAGTTTTTCTTGGTTGGGTAGACTTTGTAGAAAAGGGGAACATGAGAAACAAATACCCAGAGGAATGAAATGGCCAAGTACCAGCAGGGATCTGAGATGGCCAGAATGTGAGGTGGGGGAAAGGGGGAATGACTTGTAGCAAAGCAGAAAGTTAGTCAAGTGAAGATCTGGAGAACTTTGTCAGCACTATTTGGGATTTACCACACATTGTCTTGGCATGGGGCTGCTATACAAGAGGTGGAGGCAAGGAGACTCCTTGAGCCCAAGGAGTTCAAGGCCAGCCTGGGCAACATAGAGAGACCCTGTTTCTTTTTTCTTTTTTTAAACGCAATTCAAACATAAAATAGAACATTGTATTAAGGGATGGGATTATACTCAGGGGTAGAGCACTTACCTAGTATACATAAGGTCCTGGGTTCTCTCTCTGGTACTGTAAACAAACAAGCCAAATGAACAAACAAAGAAAAAAATCCGAAACAATTTGAGACTTTATCCTGTATCCTGGTAAGCCACCTAAGAATCTTCAAAGTATGAAAGTAACAAGATCAGATCAGAAGATTTGATATGATTAGAACAGAAGTTTCTGGCCTTGAACTCCTTTGGCAGTCTGGTAAAGCATATGAATTCCTCAGAATATAATTTTTAAATGTTTAAATTAAAATACATAGGAAATATAAATAAAAGAAATTCAATAACATTGAAACAGAATATTTTTAATCGTTATATTTGCTCCGGTATTAGCACATTTAAAAAATCTAGTGGTAGGTCTAATGTTATTATAATTTCAAAGTGGAAATGAGTGTAAGAGATGTCATAAAATAGACATATCAACTGTAATGTGAGGTGAAAATATCTGTAATTTTTGTTGGTGATAGTCATAAGCATTGTTAATGCTATGGCTTGTTGCTTATATTCATAGTAAAAAAATATACTAAATTTCACTTATATGTAAGTGAAAATACCCCATGGATTCTATACATTTCTCCCAGAGACCCCATGAATTCTATGTATTTATCTCAGGTTACATCCTCAGTAAGTAAAAGAAGACCCCTACTGATAGACTGGAAAGAAGGATAAGCTAGAAGGAGGGGCAGATCAGTTAGGCCATTTCAGTGGTCCAGATAAGACTGAATAAAGACTACAGTAGTGGAGTATAGGGCAGTGGTGGTATTTGGGAATTGAATCCAGATGTGGGTTGGGGGAGAGTTAGGGAAGTGCTTGGGGAACTGAGAGAGAGGAATGACTAAAGGACCTCACTGAGGTTTCTAGCTTGGGTAAGAGAGAGGATGGCACACCAAGACATACCAGCTTGTACCTGTATAGCAGGCTACTAATTGGTCTCCTGTGTCTTCCTTTGCCCCACTAGGGCCCAATTTCAACAGAGCAGTCCAAGTGTAGTCTTTAAACATAAGTAAGATGACATAATGTCTCTGTTCAACATCCTGTGATAGTCGAAGTCCTTTTAATAGTCATTATGGCCCCAGATGATTCAAATTTCCATCCCTGTTATTGTTTTGAATTTGGAAGTAGTGGGGATTGAGTCTCATTTCCTATTATTCCCCTCACCTCCATTCACTGACTTCCAGCTGCTCTCGCTCTTCTCAAACATATAAGGGGATGCTCCTGCCTTGAACCTTTGCACTGACTCTTCCTTCCATCAACCTGGAATGGTCTTCATCTAGGTGGTCATACACTGATTCCCTTAACTTATTCAAGTCTTTGCACCCTTAACCTCCTTCAGTTCACCCCTGTGAGGCCTACTCTTGACAACCCTATTTGGAAAAAAGCCTCTCAGGGGCTGGGGGTGTAACTCAGTGGTAGAGTGCTTGCCTAGAAGTCACAATGAACTGGGTTTGATTCCCAGCACTGCCAAATTATACAACAACAACAAAAAACTTATTCTAGATAGCTGGATGGTCTGGAGGTCAGAGGAAAGATGATTGGTGCTAGAATCTAGACTTGGAAGCCGATTACCGTGAGGTAGTTGTTGGCCAGTGAGACAAAATATATTTCTAAATTTGATTTTAAAAACATGAATTAGGCAGGTAGAGTGTCTCATGCCTATAATACCAGTGACTAGGGAGGCTGAGACAGGAGATTGTAAGTTCAAGGCCAGCCTTAGCAACTGAGGGTTAATACTGACGGTTAGCTCAGTATTAAAAAATAAAAATATATGCTATGGATTTTTATAATATTTTGGTAACGATACTGTTTTAAAACAGTGGTGTTTTGTCATAATGTTTTTTTGTTTTGTTTTGTTTTATATTTTCTAATCGATCCAATCACAGGCACTAGTTCAAATTTCCATGAATTGTTGCATGCTTTAATTCTAAGCAATCATATATTAAAGAATACTGGGCTAGGGGTCTAAGAGAGTCATACAAGGTGATGTACATGCAAAGTTGCAAAATTCTACCTTGTGTATTTGAAGGAATATATAAAAATGTGAATCAGTCACATTGTATAACACATTTAATTTAGAGGACACACCTAATCTATTGAACAAAAGCAGAGAGCTAGGTGTGAGAGAACATTAAAGAGAGTAGGCACTCATATCTGCTGTTCTCTCAACTAGTATCTTTTTCTTTGTAAGCATGAGAAGCAATG